CATTATACGAAGTTTAATGTTAAGTACCAAATTTTATAGTTTTAGTGTATGAAATCAAGTAGAAAGGGTTAACCGTTAGATGGTATTGTAATCAGCAACTGCAGCTAATTTTTATAGTATCTCTAGTGAAAATGAGAAATGCTGTAACATTTCTTCGATCTCTTATTTTCCTTCTCAGTACAAAATTTAGATGCGTGGAAAATCTAATAATTTTAGGGTAGTTTGATTCATTAAAATATTCAATATTATAACTGGTGCAATATTGGAGCCTACAGAGTTCAAAGGGTTGAAGAATGCTTAGCTGAACGTGTCACGGTGAAACTCATGGCGGGATTTGCTTGAGAAGCATTGTTTTTTCGCGAGAAAGCTGTTTTACTCGTAAATGAGAGAGATTTGCATATGTAAATACTTCTGTACGCGAAAGCTATTATATTCTCCGCGAGAAAGCTAATTTTTTCAGGATAAAGCTAATCAATATTTTCGCGGAAGTATTACTCTACGTCTCGGCAAGAGAGTTAGTTGAGTTTTCCATAAGCATGTTAGTCAAGTTCTCCACAAGAGAGGTACTCAATTTCTCCGCGAAAGAGCTATTCATTTTCTCCACGAGAGAGCTACTTAATTTTTTCACGATAAAGCTAATCAATATTTTCGCGGAAGTATTACTCTACCTCTCGGCAAGAGAGTTAGTTGAGTTTTTCATAAGCATGCTAGTCAAGTTCTCTACAAGAGAAGTACTCAATTTCTCCGCGAAAGAGCTATTCATTTTCTCCGCGAAAGAGCAATACTCAATTTCTCCGCGAAAGAGCTACTCAATTTCTCCACGAAAGAGCAACACTCAAATTCTTGTTGAAGCTACTCAATATTTCTTCACAAAAAGGCTACTAAATCCTTTCGAGAATATCCCCATTACATTCCTCTTTCCTTCCACGAGAGTCGGAACCGTCCAGCATTAACATAATTATCACTGCATCTGTAATGTTACAGCTGCTCTGTCCCCCGAGAACCAACCAAGTAGCTTTCTCATGGAGCTTCCTTTATAACTCTCCGTAGAGGCAACCCGTAATCTTTCCAGTTTCCCCAAGTTCAAATTCAAACTTCAAACAACACGTTCTTCTACGGACGGGTTTGAATTCAGATTACAGTTATCAGGAACGGAACGTCACCTGCCTAAGCTACATAAACAGTATTACCGTGACTCTAATCTCACAACTACAAGGACACAGCGAGCAAACAGTTAGACAAGCTGCTATCTTTCGACGACGCTGACGCGAAAGAGAAGCACGATTACAAGCGTAACGTAGACGAGCTCATTGTCAACCCGCTTCGAATTAAGTATGGTAACCGAAAGCGTCTTTTATCATCGAGGACACGGTCGAAAGGAATTTCATAACGCCAGAGCACTGAAAACAGAATACCGAACCTTTAACGCTAGAAAATGTTTCACCAGAAATATTCAACCTTCTGCGATCAGATACAGACAACATTCTTCAAAACCAATTAACGAGAAAACATAAATTAAGAACCGAAGCCGCATTACTTAAATACTCGAGATATCGATGCATTAGGAGTTCTACTTCAACTTTATAATCTGTACCAAATCTCGAGTTAAAATACGATCTCCGGAGGAATCTCTGGAATACCGTAACGGAATTGTTAAAAAACGAGCACAGTCCCGAAGAACCGCCGTCAAGATAAATCGAAACGGCACGACAGAAATTTCGTTCGAGAACGAGCAGTTCCCGTTACAATGGCGGCTAACTTTGGCGGTCAGCGGAACGACGATCATCGAACGGAACCGAAAGTACGGAACGGAACGGAACGTAGGATCGATCCATCCGCGGCCACGTGTTTTCTGCGTCTGACGGTTCAATTATTTCCATAAGACGAGCATCTAACGAGCTTTCATGTCAGCGTCCGTCCGTCCGCTTTCGCTCGCCGGTCGGCCAGGCTTAAAATTAGATTCTACGAAACGAACAAGCCGGAAGCGAAGCGGCGAGGGAGCCGCACGAAATTTATTTAGCGGGGTATGCGCGCGCGAGCGCGCGCGTTCTCGGATTCATTCATCGCGAGCGAACTCCGAGGTTCCCGGGAAACCGTTGAGAAACTCTGGACGCGAATCTTTCGTATTTTCACGAGATCGAGGGCGGACGGTCGAGAGTATTTTTCCCGGGGAGTTTTACAATAAAATTCCCTCCGGCGGACCGGACGAGATGTATTTAAGAAATGCTTACTGCGGAGACACGACGCGGGTAGCTGAGAGCCGCGAAGAGACCATTGATAACTAGGGGCCGCTGACGCAGGACCGAAATATCGTAAACTGGGGCTCCTGCTTCTGCGCACCATGTACGAACGAATTTTCTCGTTTATTATTGAGCAATCGATGCTCGGGGACTCGAGAGCGACGCGCGTAAGGTCCGCGGGGAAAAATGATATCGTTTACATTCAGGTGACGTACGAGGTGTATGGGTGTATCGACGATTACGCGGCGAACATCGAGATGCATGAGTCACTTTTAACACACCTGTTCTAAGTAGGTGAGCGTCGCGGCTATTGTGAGCGCAGGATCAATCATGCAAGCATCCTGATCGTTATCTGTGCCATGTGATTTATTGAATTGTGCCGTGCCGCGGAAGGGAAGATCGGGGAATCAATTGTAGTGAGATTATTTGTAACTGATTATTAGCGTCTGATGTATGAAAGATATAGCTGGTAACAGAATCTTTCATTACGTCTACATAACTGATGCCCAATTTGAATTATAAGTACGAACTAAAGAATATTTTACTGTCCAACCTACACGGAGCACCGAATGGAAAATATCAGAAAGAGAAAGATCGAAGTGCAAGTGAGGGATTAACCCTTTGCGGAGATTCTTGAAGTATACGAAACCTTCAGCAGATAAAACTGAATTATATATCAAGTGCTTAATATAAAAAGGAAACTTCGCGATGATCTCTTGCTGTTTGAGTAACTAAATCATTTGTCTATAACTTAGTCTTCCAAATACGGAAATTTAAAGTTAAATTATATATCGATTACTTAATAGAAAGAAATTATACACAGATCTCTCGCTGTTGAGTAACTGAATTATTTCTTTTCGACTTACTCTATCAGATATGGAAATTCGATCTCGCCGAAACGTCAAAGTTCGTCCGCAAAAAATTAACCTATCAATCAATCACTACAATGCATCAAAGTCCTCGAAACAATAACCCTTAGTGTTCCAGAAATCGAAAATCACCGAACGAACGCGTTCGCAATATCGCCGGGTTCATCCCCAAGCCTAAACCGCGCGAGATTCCAGTAACGGTACGATCGGCCGGCGTAAAGTTCGCGAGACCGTCGAGAGAGTATCGCTGGCGTTCCTTGACCCTGCGACGAGAACCCTCGAGCCAGCAGCACGCCGCGAAGGGTCTTTTATCCGTACGCTAACCCGTCCGTCCTCCCCCTGCGGCATTCCACGCTTAGACGACTTAGAGAACCAGCGAGCAAGAGCCGGAGCGGCGAACGAGCCCGCGCTGGCGCGGATTCGAGCGGATCGAAAGAGGACGGAGCAATAATACAAGGCCTGCCCTTGCCGGAGCCAAGGAGTAACGTCCTGTTACACCAGTCTGACCACTCTCTCTCGCCTCCCTTCGCCCTCCGTCGCGTATCCTTGCTTCCCTTGCTCCCTGAGGCTCTTTCCTGTCGTTTTATTTCGCGTCGAAGGCTCTCTCGCCTTCTCGCCGGCCGCCAGCGACCGCGCCACGCTTAGACGACCGTCCGCGAGCATGAGAAACTTCGATCCCGCTCGTTCCAGGCTTCCTGCCCGGAAACCTTTTCGATAAATTCTCCTGGAGCCTGCCGGGAGGCTACCTTCGCTGCTAGCTTCGTTAGTCGATAGCTTCGATTCCGCAAATTTTTTTAGACGTTCAGGAGTAGCTTTCTGGTTGCTAGTAGTTAACACTGAAACTACCAGAGAGTCAAATGACCCCTGATGTCTTCTTTTTGTAATTATTAGAAAGGTAACAAATGTTTCCCTGAGAAATTATTAAGGAAATTCATTTAGCAATACGCAAATTGAATTGTACATCAATTAATCCTTAGCACTCCAGATGGTTTTGTAATTTATCAGCAACTAACTTTTATGGTATCTCTAGTAAAAATGAGAAATGCTGTAACATTCCTTCGATCTTTTATTTTCCTTCTCAGTACGAAATCTGGGTGTGTGGAGAATCTAATAATTTTAAGGTAGTTTCTTTGATTCATTAAAATGTTATAACTGGTGCAATATTGGAGCCAAGAGAATTCAAAGGAGTAGAAGTGGCTTGATCTATGGTTGTAATAAATGCATTCTGCTTGTTGGTATGAAACTCTATGGAATTAGGTGTGAAGACGCTTGGGAATTTGATAGCAAAGAGAGATGAGAATTTATAAATATTGTACCAAATTACTAGTCTAGTAATAAACAGCTTAATCTATAGATTGTGTCATAAATGCATTCTGATTGTAACTTAGTATGAAATTCTATGAATTAGGTATGCTGGAAGGCGTTTGGAATTTGATAGCAAAGAGAACTTAGAAATACTGGATCAAATTACTAGTCCTCGAAATAGCTGTTTAACTAGGTAATATTTAGGGTTAGCACAGTGACTTTCAATCGAATGATCAGATTATCTAAATGTCCCTGTGTTCAAACTTTATTTTAAAGGACCGATGTTTCTGCGCCTCTAACAGCGTCCAACAGAAACGAATAAATAATTCGCGTTCGAGAAACTTTATTTAGCGGAGGGTTAAACCGTCCAATTTCGGAGCGAATTGATTCAGTATTCCGACAGAGCGTGCACGCGGGATCGAACGGATCGCGAAACGCGCTGGCGTGAGTCGCTCGGGACGAGCCGAGGGGAACCGAGCGTTCCTCGCGTGTCGTCGTGGAGCGCATTCCTCGGACGCGTGTCCTGCATGCGGAATGAAACCCGCGGCTACATTCCGGCCGCGGCAATTCGAAAACTGTTACTCACCGATAATGGTGTTCGCCGGTGCAGCCTCCGGGATGGATCGGCAGTGAACCCTGCGCAAACAAAACAAGCATTCGTTTTAATCCTCTTCGTTCGCTGCTGCAAGTGGCAATAAACCACCTCTGACCACCGAAAAACACTGCGCACTTCGTTAAACTTCGTACACTGTTCCCTTTTGGAGAAACGTTTCGTTCGTTTCCTATTTAAATTCGAGCAGACACAGCTGCAGATGGTTGTGTCTGTCCATATACTTTGTTATTTATCATTGATTCGATAATCGCTTGATATTTAAACAATTATTACTCTTTTTCGATAGATTTAGATTCACGAATCTGAGAATTTATAACTTTTCAAGATTAACCCTTAGCACTGCAGGTTGTTTTAGAATCTATCAGCAACTGCAACTAATTTTTATAGTATTCCTAGCGAAATTGAGAAATGCAACATTTCTTCTATCATTTATTTTCCTTCTTAGTACAAAATTTGGATGTGTGGAAAATCGAATAATTTTATGGTAGTTTCTTTGATTCATTAAAATATTTAGTATTGTAACTGGTGCATTGGAGCCTACAGAGTTCAAAGGGTTAATAACGCTCAGGTTCAAATTGCTTGACAAATGATTTGCATCTTGGCTTGGAAAAGCCGAATAAAAATTCTAGAATCCGAAGGGAATTCTCATCGAGTACAGCAAAATATTTCATTCGAATCAACTTCGAATTCAAATCTCCATCTAAACAATCTCCTTCCAAAAGAGTCGCAGTCACAGAATCTTGAAACGAGAAACGAGTTCAAAAATCCTATATCTCTATCCTTCAATACGCCGCCACGTCCTATCGCGAATTTCAACTGAACGACGCATTCTAGCCTTATCGGAATCTCTTCTACACGTCGATCGTATCTAAGAAATTCGTAAACGCCTCGTCCATTATCGGACTCGTTGCTTAATCGCAGCGACAGATTCGCCGTAAAACCTGCGTGTCCACGCGGTCGACTTCTCGCCGATATCGTTCCAGTCTATTTGCCAGCTATCGTTATCGCGCCATGAATCTTTGCGCGCGCTTTACGAACCCGGCCGATCGCCTTCGCGCCAGTCCCACGCGGTCCGCCAAACCGTCGACCATCTCCTGGCGCATTCTCCGCGATCTCCCCGCAGTTATGCAATTTCACGTAACCGAACCAACTATCTTCTAGTAATCTTAAACTCGATACTCCGTGACAACACCCGGCTACCCTCGCTTTCAACGATTCACAGCGATCACTGCACTCCTAGCCGAGACCACGTGGTTGCTAACTAATCCTCCGACCAACGAATCCTCCACTGTCCCTAAAATTCTCATCCAAAACTTTGACAATCCTACTCCTTCCACACTGGTGACGAACGTTCCCCGTCGTTCTACCGACAAACAAAGGTGACAGTAGCGAAAGAAATTCACGCGCGCTCCAACGATCGAAACACCGAGGTAGGTCAGGGCCAGCGGCCAAGCGAGTACCTTAAACAATCCTGCGTGGCGTCGCGACGGCGTGTCCCGCGCGACCAAGGTGCCCAGGTGAGAGAGGAACGGACAGACGGACTAGCGGGGACGCGATTTCAGAACGGAGGCTCGCCGCCGAAGCAAAAACCGGCACTAGACGCAGAACGCGAGTAAAGTTTGCGAAGCGCGGCGAGCCCTGCTTCTTCCGACGAGTAGTCTACTCCTTCGACTCTCCTCTGCGCGGCTCCCTTCCACTCACCCTCCTACTCCTCCTCCGCCGCCAGCACTCGCGGGTTTCTTCTACCTCTTCCTTGATCGCGAAGAGGAACGAGAGGAACGCGCGGTGGGGCGCCGAGCGCGCCGCGAGGAGGGAGAGCTGTAGCGATAGAGGATCGGGGAAAGAGAGGATCGAGGTCGGAGAGAGAGGGTTATAGAGCAATAGAGGGACAGGGAAAGAGTATCAGCTGAAAGATGAAAGGAGAGAGCTAGATAGAGGAACAAGGAGAGGCTCGACTGATGTGAAAGAGAGAAGAGAACTATAGAGGAACAAGGATCAGCAGTGAAAGACGGCTATAGGGCTATAGAGGAACGAGGAAATAGAGGATCGGTTGAAGGAGAGA